CATCTAAAGGCTAAATTGATTCAACAACGCACGCTAACCCTTTGCGTGCATTAATTCAGTTTACCTAATTTCAGGGAAATGACGAACCTTAACCGAAGTAGCCCTTCAAGTCTAGTCGCACCTCAGTTACTCGAGTCTCAGATAGACTACACGCTGTTATTGTTAGATAACTGCTGTTTAACGCCGCAGTGCGCGATCCGAAAGTTATCACAAGAATGCTGAGTTGTGGGCAAAAGTCGGACCACGGACGGGATTCGAACCCGCATCTTCCGCTTGCCGGGCGACTGCGTTCCCTATTACGCTACCGGGGCCACTCTTGCCCTCTCAGCTCAATGGCTATTTGTGCCATTGCCTTCGAGCACTCACACATGAGCCGGTTAGCCGATATCGGCAGTGAACCGCAAGGCTGAAGGCTTTTTACAAGCTCATCACGTTGAACGTGTGAGTGCTCGAAGGCAATGGCACAAATAGCCATTGAGCTGAGAGGTCAAAAGTGGCCTCGGTAGCGTAATAGGGAACGCAACTGCACGGAAAGCAGAAGATGCGGGTTCGAATCCCGTCCGTGGTCCGACTTTTGCCCATAACTCAGCATTCTTGTGATAAACTACAGGCTGTTGGTACATCTACATTCGTGACCACTACTAGATTTCAAAACAATTGAGATGAGTGCAAAACATACCACTTGGAACAATCCCGACAAGTCCGGCCACAATTGAAACGCAGTGAAGCCATACTGGTATCAGCTGCCAAGCGGCTCCACTAACACGCATGGAATTCTCGGACACCAACTGAAAAGGTCAACATGTCGTAATTACTGTTAGTAAGACACAAACAAGTCTTCCATGGAAACCACTCCATAGAAAATAAGAAAAGCCGGACTCATCAGGGACTTCGAGCTCCAAATGGAACCTCACTTGGCTTCGTCAGAGCAATATGTCGCGCTGGTAGACGTGAGCGACGCCGCGCTCAACAGACGAGTTGTCCTACCTAGCCGTTAGAATACGAATGTCAAAGGATGGAAGTTCGATATCGCTTATCACGGAATCTCATTCTCGCTTGAATTCGTATGAGTTCCGCAGCTCCAGTCGGCAAACTAAGGCGCATGAAGGATTTGTCGCGCATGGCAGCGCAATACTTCTCGTGACGCAACAAATTACGATAGCCTTGTCCGTCTCGCACTCTTCGGTGGCCCGCACGCGGTGAGCGCTGGACGACGTCATAGCGAAATGACCACCGCGGACGAAATGTTGCCACTATTTCAACGTACCGCACCATGCACACTGCAGGGTAAAGGGCTGTCTGGCGACGACTGTGTATTTCATTGCCGGTACTCTTCTCTATATCTTCGTCTCTGCCTCTCTTCTATGTGCACCCTCACAGCCATAGCCGGACGCATATGGACTGTACAAACACAAAATATTTCTTCACGTTATTCCCCCACAGCCTAACTTTTAGGAACAGCGACTGCCAGTGGGATCCGCAATAAGGAAATGAACGGTAGGATTAGTTGTGATCAATGCAACATCACTGTAGGTTTTGGGTAAACAAGGGAAAGATCACAGTAGTCACTGGAAGTTCCCTAGGCAAAAGACAGTGCTGACAAGAAGACTGACGCAGGTATGTGACACAGCAATCGTAAATCGCACGGAGTGGCCAACGACTTCTGCCATCCACTGCCAACTCTTTCTTACTAGTCCAGTACTTGAACAGGAATATCACAGGCTACAGATATTAACTTTCATGTCGTTGCGGACATTTTACTCAAACTGCCACGCAATACACCGTGCACTCCGGCGCGACGGATTACGATGGTCTTCAACAACTTGCCGGCGACGATAGTCCTGGGTCACCTCCAGGACTATCGTCTCCCCTACGCGCAATCGCTCCGATCTCATCAAGTGCTCATCAGCGATCAGTTTTCACTGCTCT